GCGTGCATGCATGCGTGCGTGTGTTGTCTGTCTTCCTAGTTGTTGAACAAATGCCAGTGAGATAATACTCCCTTGAAGTCCCAGTCTGTCTGGTCAGTCAGATGAAGAGCTGGTTATTTTTAACACTGCAGGGGGTTGTTGAAGTATGAGAGAGGCCAAGCTGTGTGTCAGTGAGTGCAGAAGCCCATCTCACATCTCCCTGTGTTTTCCTCCTCTGTGTATTCCTTTTCACTGTGGGATCATTCCCAGTGGCTCTGTAGAGACAGGAGAGATTTGTTCAGCAGACAATGCCCGCTGAAGAAATGTGCAGATAAATTGGACAGGGCCGATAATGGACAGATATAAAGCCACAGAGGAGGCTGTGCAGACACAGTTAGGCTCAAGGATAGATCGGTGAGAGTGCTAGTAAGAGGACAGGTGATAAAAGCAGGCACAGATAAAGTCCCTAATGCACCTGGTTGCAGCCTGGCTCACCTCTTCCTGAGCTACATTCTCAGCTGGAGGCAGATGAATGTATTAGTATAGACAGGTTTGGTCCCTGAGGAGAGACAACAATCCTGAATAGAGCTGGACCAAAACACCTTGTGCTATCTTTGGATGCACGATTATTTTACACTTTCGGACTGAAAATTGCAAACGGATGTAACTCTCTCTCAAAATCTGATACAGTGGCTTAGATGTGATTTGAGATCAAGTAAAAAAAATATATATATATAAATAAAGCAATAAAATGGTCTCTTATGCAGATTTGAACCAGATTTACCTCTTGCGCTTTGATCAGGGAACAGCAAACGAGTATACATTTGTCAGATGTTGTTCCCCATGGCTGTAATACCAGTGAGGGATTTGTCTGATAATGAATCAATCACTGAATATGGGTGGATAAACATCTGAGTGCAGCAGAGTATTACTAATCTAATTCCAGTCAAATGCAGGGAGGCCTAGAATTATCTCCTCTCATGGGGCCTGCGATTTCAAGTTCTGCATCCAAATCACAATCCATGATAAGATAAAGGTTTTGTCACTCACACTGGTTTCCTGGTCCGTTTCCATTAGATCACCGTTCCTATGAAGAAGCTTGGTGACTTCACAGCATGAAATTTTGACAGAACATTGTGTTAACAGCTGTGACTTTATGTCAAAATTTTAAGTGTTTTTAAGCAATCAACATGAAAAAGGTGTTATTTTGTTTCATGTTTGTTTTATCTGCTGATGAATTTAAGTGTTGAGCAATAATTCTAATGAAAAGCAGTTTGACCCAGTTAGATCCTTAACGAGATTTTTGTTCACCAAAAGTACAGCTATGAGTAATAAACGCAATCTGCACAGCATATTTGCTGAAGATTAATTCATCCTGCAGCTGAAACACATGCATAAAAATAAATAAATAAATTATAGAGCCCTAGATGCACTTTGTTTACACACATTAAAGCCAGTTGTGGCAACACATTTAGTCACATTTCACAGACATACACACAAACATTATTTTTCATTTTCAGAAATGATAAACATTGCCAGTTACACTCAGTTTGTTCACTTGTTGTTTTCTTTCATGTTACATAATACACAGAGCTCATTAAAAAAAAGAAACTTGCTTGAAAATAAATATATTTGGAAAAAGTGAACTGAGACATAAAAATTCACAGAAAGAAAACAGATTGATTTCAGTGAAAGCAGCACCTGAGCGTGGTCATACATTTTTAGCAGACAAACCATCAAATGCACAATGTTAGCTAAGAACTGAGCTCACAAGGCTCTTTTGGTATTATATATAATCATGAAAAACACACTGCAATCAGCCATTACTGGATAGTGAAGATTTGACTTAATATATCCCAGATCATTTTAACATCAATCATTAGAATATTATCCAGGCACCTAATTTCCAAAAGCACTTTTAATTTATCATAAATAACACACACAGTGATCACTCCTGCTCTTTAGATGATGTGAAACTGGAAGAAGGCAATTCGCCCACCGCTTTATTTACCACACAGCCCTGACCTCAGGGGCAGAAGGGGACGTGCAGCCCTCAGCCCTCCCCTTTAAACTCGCACGTACACACCCCTTTAAACACGTCACTCGGCTGGCAGGCAGGCTGGCTAGTATCTGGCGGTGGTGGTGTGCGGTTGGACTGTGGTTGTGTTTCAGGTCTGGTCGTGTTGATAACGACACACTTACGACGCATTTCATCGCGGGAGAGATGGGAGTTGTGAAGAAATGGCTCTAAAACAAATTGCCCCAACGCTGCTGGCCCTGCTCGGGCTGGTGGCCGTCGGTAATGGTAAGTTTCATCCGAGCACCTCTCCGGCTTTTGTCTCGATGTGTTTTCCTGGACTGGGCATCGCCTGTTGTCGCTAATCGTCATGGCGCTCTCTATCGCGGATTTGGCTAGCCGTGTCTTGCTAGCGTCGACCTCAAAACCACGGCTGCTGTTTGGTCGAACCGGCTGCCGTGCCGTGTTTGATGATTTATCGATATTTTTGGCTTTTATCCGCTGACAAATTCAATTGAGCTGTTGTTGAACACGAGTAGCGAAACCAACAACAACCACCACCACAACAACAACATGGTGGGGCTGTCTGTTCCGAAGCGCCAGCTAACGTCTGCTAGCTAAAGTTAAATAATGTTGATAAATCTGTGTTATTAAATGGATACAAAACTGATATAAATATGATTTTATTATTCTGTACGAACACCCCAAGCTAGGAATAGTGGTCTACATGGTGCTGTTGATGCTGAGGTTAATCTCTTGTGTGGCTGTTATGCTAACTTATTTACAAAATAGTGTCTTTTTGGCTTGTGACTGCTTATCGCTGTTTTGCTTGGGGACGTCGTATAATGATAGCTGGCTGGTTGAATTTGCGTAATGTGGTCAGTTACAGTTTCGTCACATGTTGTGAGGACTGGTTTCCACGCTGGAAGGAGCAGAAAGGAGCCTCTGAATGAAGGCCTAACCTACTTTGTGCATGAAATGTGTTTTCTGAGGGTAAACACTGGCAGCTCTGCCATCGCTTTCCATTTGTAAAGAGTGAAAAGGGTGCTTAGTGGACCCCCACCCCCCCCTTTCCTTCCTGCACAGCAGAAAGTGAATGCTGGCATAGGGCGACAGCAGCCGTACATTCAGCCATCCCAGACAGAAGTCAGAGTTGAAGTCTGGGTTCATTGTGATGGAAATGTGGCAAGTGGGGTCTTTTGAGGCGCCAGTTATGGTCCTTCTTCAGTCCGATTCCTCCCCATCTGCTGGAGCAGCTGATGCCCAGCTTCACACAACAGCACCACATCACAATATATCACTATATGTAACAGCACACACAGTATATCACCAGATATTCTGCCAAAGCACAGAGCGTTTGGCCCCTCAGCTCTACTGACCTTTAAGTTTGCTCCAAACGTCCCTTCACTTTCATTATGCTTCAGTAGGTTAGACACAAGCATGTCTTGTTTTATGAAAAACTCCGTTCTCTTCCTTTGAGTTTTGCACCTTTGTTTCAACTTGCCACTCACTGGATACACTTATTGTTAAAATGATCCGTGTGCCAGGGGGAAAAAATTATCTTTGCTTCATTTGTTATCCATTAAAGTGTACTGTGCTAAACAATTGAGTCATCCTTCCGAGAATCATAAAAACTGTTCCTCCCCCACAAGTTTAGATAAGGGCGCAGTACACTAAGGTTGATCAGTTCAAGGCATGCTGGGAAAATTGTCACACCTGAGTGGCCAGTTTGTTTGCCTGGGTTACACCAACATTAACAGAGATGTGTGAAGGGGGAGAGTTGAGGGTGGGTCTGTGACCGGTGCAGACACACACAGTGATAATGGGTCTGTCCATCTGGCAGGGTTTGTCATGCAAGGGGGGCCACGAGTCTATCATGAGCTGCTTTCTCCCTATGTAATGGCTTACACCATGCACAGGCTGAAACCAGACAAACCTGAAAGCTGCTTCGCTGGAGCAGATTCCAGGCCTGCGCGAGTATGTTTTTGTGAGAATATGCTTTACTCACAGGTTTGAATCTGTCACGTGTTGTTGACTTCACGAGGATTAGGAGTCACTGGTGTTATGGGCATTACATGTCTACGTGACGCAGTCCGACTGGGTGAATTGAACAAAGTAGCAATGTGATATGGGCACTGTCAACCACAGTGCCGCTAGGTAGGGCGCGTCCCTCCCCTTCTCTCTACATTCTCCATCTCGCTTATATAAAAGCCTGCTGCTTTGTCAGAATTTAATCTGTACTTTGTTGTCTGTGGTCCCGTTTCTGCTTTCATTCACTTACTTCTAACAGGGTGGTGAAGAAAGCTTTAGTTTGGGTTGGGTTTTTTTTTTTTAATTTTTTATCTCTAGGTTAGAGGAAGGCCATTGGATAGATGAGCTCCTGCTATCTCTTGACCTCTGAACTCACCTTTGGAAGCTCTTCAACATACAATCACCAGGCCTGCCAGACTATTGTCGTTTCCTGATGTGCCTCTTTTCCACTCTTTAGTCATGGATGCATAACCCTGCTGTCTTTCTGGTAAAATGACCGCCTTCTGCCATTCAGACATGGCTTATTAATGTTTCTTCATTTATTTTACACATACAACGTTGATGGATAGAACCACATACATGTGAGATTTGGATATCATGCATCTAGTGAGGTATGATATCCAATAGGAGGCAAATAGAGCGTATAATGTTCTTCCCATCATTTATTTAACACATTGAATGTGTTAAATAAATAAATGAACATTAGTGGCCTATGTGTGAATAACAGAATGCATTAGATCAGAGTTTTCTGACTGCAACATAGTGACCGAACATGAGTGTATTCAGAAGGATTCTTTCCCCCCTTCTCATTATGAGCAATTGAGATGCACAGCAGGCAACGGCATGATTCACAGTGGCTTACATCAACACATTGTAATTGCACGCATGCCTATACATTTATGCAAGTATATAGGTTTCAGAATTAGATAGTAGAGTGTTGTCGGTCTGCTGCTTTTATGGAAAAAGGCCATAGTGCTCATTAAGATGTAAGGTAGACCTGTTCAGGTGCACTCAGATTAATGGATAATGTTGCGTGTCTGTGGCGTGTGGTTGTGGCTTGAAACTAAAACATGCCTTCCTTTCAGTTTGAACAGGGAACTCACTCTACAGGGGTAAACGGTGCAGGTGCTTGTGTAATGTCAAATTTGATGTGAAAGAGTTCAGGTGGTGGCTGTGTGAGCTAGTCAGTTTGGAACATGCGTATACCTGCCCATTAGATCAGAGCAGGGAGAATGTACAGAGAGGTTGAAACTTTATAGGTTCCAAGGTGTAAGCCCGTAAGGAGAAGACGGTGTGGACAGGGGAGGTGAGTTTGAAAAGTAGAACGTGTTTTAAAGGGGCGGGGGTTCCTTCTCCCTCAGTGTGTAGCAGTTGTTTAAACCTGTTCTAGATAAGTTGTATTGTCTGCCAGATCCCTGCAGCTATGTCGTGATCAAATGAAGTTGCATCACATCCTCTGTATAAAATTTCTGGTTGCTTCCTGGCTCAGACACCACCTCCTTTGCAATTTGTGTTTACTAACAATTTCCATAATGTGGCACTGAGCCAGTCGGGGTCAGGTTAGGTCCGGGGTGGTCTAGTTTTCCTTCCATAATGACCAGTGTTGTTAATGACCTCCTTTGGCCCGGAGGCAGAGAGCCCTAATTGCTACAGCAGACGGCATAGCCCCGGACTGACCCGGCTCCTCCATTACTGATGCTAGACCGCAAGAAATTACTATCACTTTAGAGCCAGCCAACTTCTTGCCTGTCCTCTTCTCTTCAATTTACTCTAAAGTACTTGTCTTTGTTTAAAGAGTTTTTGCATATTGTTCATGAACCTGCATTTGTTTCTGTGGCGTATCTTAAGCATACACAGACATAAGATCTGTGATTTCTCACCGTGCTTCCACAGACTTGATAGTTACATTAATTTATGTCTATAGAGCTAAACTCGACAGCTTCCTCCATTGCATGTCTCTTTGATTTGTTTTTCTTTTTTGTTTTTTCTGACTGCTGTTGGAATTTAGATCAGACCCGCACTGCCTTGTAATTTTCTGCTAGAAGGTATGCAGTCTACTTGTCAAGTTTTCTCTAATACTTCCGTGACAATGATTTACTTTGATTGGTGTGATCCAGGGTAAAACTTTTGCTTTTGGAATCCAGTGAGAGTGCCTTATCTAACTAGCTCTTCAAATACCATTTAACCCTCTCCTGGGCTCAGATAGTGTTGGTAGCTTAAACAGAGCCCAAATTTGTTATGAGTAAGTGTGTGAATATGCAAAGTAGTTGCTTTTTTTGAGCTTTAAAGGTAACTGCTGGATTTATGCCAAATCCTTGTGGTGTTCTCGGATCAACGTTGCATTTTGTCTGGGCTGTTTTTATTTTGGTTTCACAATATTATTAGCTTAAGGATTATCTGCAAAATAACTTAATCTGTCTTTTTTCACAATGAAAAGAGTGACATAACTAAAATTAATATTTTTGCCATATGTGAAATTTCTATATATATGTTGTGCTATGTATATATTGTCATTCTGATCATTCTTCTCAGTTATTTATGCAATGAAAATACAAATTACAGCAGAATCAAGGAGTTTTGGAAATTAGCTTTAGTTTTCAGTGCGTCACTTCAGTTTTATTTATGTAACACCAGATCACAACAAGAGTTTACCTCAAGGTGCTTAATATTTTAAGGTGAAACCCTACAAAAATCCCCCAGGGGGATAAAAAAAAAAAAAGCTTGGACAATGAAACTGCCCTTTATGATCAGACACGTGGCAATGGTCGGACAGGACAAAACTCCCCTTTTGACAGGAAGAACTTGACATCAAGGCTAAACACAAGCAAACTAAAAATAAGTGTGTAAGTGTCTGCAGTGTATTTGGTGCCAGTTTTCAGAGTTGTTGGTCTGTAAGAAAACAGTGTTTGTGTTTAACAAATAATTGTAACCGAAGAGGGGAAAAAAACGACACTTCTGCAAACATCCAGGATTGTTTTCAAGCAGCTTCAAATGGCACTGACTCATATTACCACGGTATATTTTAGAAATCAGTTTGAGAATCTGAGCACAAGTGTCTGCAACAAATCCAAAGTGAACCTGTGCTCACACTCGTGTGCTTTTGAACTCGACCAGAACAACAGACAAGACAGGAAGGGATGTAGCCTCAGGCTGGTGGTTGGTAGACATGGTAGAAGCAGCCTCGGCCCCAGAGACTTCACTTTAGAATCAGATCAGTAATCTGACCCTGAGATGCAGACAAAGGTAATGACTTTCCTCCTTCCCCTAGCATTGATTAGGACACAGTTGTGGTGTGTGCATGTGTATGTTAGCCTGTGTATGTGTGTTGCACTCACACTGTCTGGTGGCGTCTGCTTGTCTTGATCAGCTCTCAGTCTGGTATCTGTATGGATCTAATTTCAGCCAGTGCATTTTGGTAATGGTTCCCCCCTCCCCATGCACGCACACGTGCTGATTGTCTGTCTGAGCCCCCAGAAACCCACAGTGTTTGTGTAACCTGCCGCCCTGCGCCAAGCACATTTACAGTATTTTCTTTATGTTATCGTACACAGAACTTCAGTCGTGTTTTGAGAGCGTTGTTTCCACCAAGTCGGTCTGAACGGCGCATGCATCTGCTGAACGCTGTCATCGTGGTTTATGGGTAAATTTCTGTGGAATGGGGCTGTTCTGTGTTTTATTTCGTTAGGTTCATAGGACCACCAAATTAAGGCAACGCTGTTTATGGCAACAAAGTTTTAATAATGTTTTCCTGACTGTGTTTTCCATTTCCTGTCTCAACACGAACGGAATGATTGGAACTCCGTACTAACGGCTCGAAGGGATTGCGTTTAGGCTCTGCTCTCCCTGTTTTTGTCATGCGTTCCCTTTTCTGCTCCCTCCCATAAGTTAAAGTCTAGACTGGGTTTTAATGACAGTCGCAGCTGGTCACTTGGGCAGACCTCAATCGCAGCTGGGGGGCCCTGTTTGCCGCCTCCCCCTCTGTATTGTCCTTCCCAAATGGGGACCAACCCCCATCCTGTCTGGCCCAGAGCAGCTCCCCCAAACATCGGGGTTGTTACTGGTAACCCCACTCTGCTGTCCCCTGTATGCCACCCATCCCCCCACGCAAAAGTGCACACCCCCCACTCCAGTCTTTGTTCATGTAGGGCCAGTCCAATCCCTCCTCATGTCGCCTTAATCTCCACACAAAGGACCAGTGTAAAGACCACCAATTATGTGGATACAAGAGCAGAGTTCACTCAAACTTCACACACACGGCCTTTTCCTCAGATCCAAGTGTATTTAGGCTCGGTAATATTCCTGCAAGTCTGGCTTTGTAACACTTTGGCTCTGAATCTATTGAGATATGCAGAGCGCTGTGTAAACAACACAGCATTGGGATAAATGTTTTTTGTTTGAATTAGTTAAGTAGCAGAACTCCATATTGCCTGATGTTCATCTCGGTTTTTTGGATGGTTTTTTGTTGTTGTTGTTGTTGTTGTTGTTGTTGTTGTTTGTTTTGTTTTTTTTAACCGCTACCTCGTGCCATCTTTTGCAAAGTTTTGTTTGGGGCTGTGATTTAGCAGTTAGATGAATATATTGGCGGGTGAGCGTTGGCTGAATTCTTGAGCAGTTTGTTCTTTTGGAGTGAATTTGAAGGCCAATTTTTTACTATTCTATTTTGGTGGTCTGCCTCCATGAGGATCTAACTTGGCAGATAAAGAACCTGTAAAGCAGGTTTCAAAGCTTGTGCTAATGAGTTGAGTCGGCCCATATTTTGCACATTCGTGTCCCTCTTTCAGTTTTTCAGAAAGCAGAGGTGACATTTGAGTGTGTTTTAATGTTTGCTGTCCAGTTGGTATAAATTATATTTGAAAACTAAATCAATAACTGTACGTGTGCCCGTATGGTTTAGTGACGCGTGCTTTTCCCAGCAGCTTGTTCATTATTATCAGGATGTGAGAGAAATGTCCTCCGCCTAATTGCTTCATCTCGGGCTTTCTGCTCATGACTTTTATTTGGGGGGGGTTGGTCTGCTTGTTTTTTTGTTTTTTTTCGTCATGCACATATCGATAAATATTACACAGTCACCAGCAGGACCCCTTACGGCTGGTGGACAGATTTTTATATCGCCTAAGCCTGTTTGCTGATTGCATAAATGTTATACATTGTAGTCACAGGGCGTTCAACTTACAGGATGTTTTCATTTAGATAAAAGCATTAGTCAGTAATGAAACATCAGATCATTTTATCTAAACTTGTGAATCAATCACCATCAAGTTAATAATAAATATCCTCTCATGTTTTTGCTGTGCTGAACACACATAATGTTTTTGCTTCTCAGCGTGGAAGCGGGCTACACATGGTATAGTCATGAGGTAGCCCTAAATGAAAGGGAGGACTTCCCACAAACCAAACTCTTGGTAGGCCGCAAACCATCCATGGTAGAGTTGAGAAGCAAATGTGTGTGTTTTCAGCCATGTTTGGTTTCCTTCCTGAGCTTCTGTCTGTGTCTGTGTGCCATCTGTCTTACCACACACAGACTCTCCAGTGATGAATGTGCCTTTTCATTTCAGATCACCGTGTTCTTGTCAGATCACTCCTGTTAGCTCATTATCGTGTATTGGTGCAATATGTTTGTCATGAAAAAAACTTTTATAGCCTTCAATTTGAGTTTTGTGAGGCGATTCGGTTTACAATCCTAAGTGTGGTGAGGAGGCGCTTTGTCTTAAAATGTGCTGCGTGTGTATTTCCTTTTAAATGCTGCTCTTGCTTTTGAGAACGTATTGATGAAAAAGACTCTTGTCTGGATTCACTTGGTAAAAATTTGATATGCTTTACTGAAAAGCCATAAACGGCAGACGTGAAGGAGAGATGGTCCTGGTGGAAAGAGGTGTTTCAGGTTGTCTGAATGTTGATGGAAGTAATGTGTCATCCTGCATTTTAAACCTACAGCCATGACTCCTGTCATCGGTTTTATTTTGTTAAACTATTTACCACGCACTAGCCTGATGTGGCACAGGGCTTGTTTTTCTCTTTTTATCAGGCCCAGCCTGCTTTACCTCTGTGTAATCTGCAGGAAATTCCATCTGCATGCGAACTTGAGTGAAATTTGGACACACTCAGCATTGAGTTCCTGTCACTTTCCC